ACAAAACACGTGCAAAACACGTGCAGAATCGCAACTCCGGGCGACACGACACGGAAACGTTGTTCCCGAAAAGTTTGGCCGCGGCGGCGGCGACCCGGCCCGGCAGAGCCAGACTTCCAGAGCACGAGAAAGGGGCTGCTGTCGGACTGACGGGGATGGAGCAGGGGAGCAGCGACGGCCAAATCGATATTATGGTAAAGCCCCGTGCCCTGCAGGGCCCTATGCCGCCCAACAGACATTTTAGATGCCCGCAGGATAAGCCTGTGTGTGCTCATCGTGGCTCGAAATTGCACTCCTCGGGGATGTCTCTGCTCCCCTAAAAGGCTCCAGGAAGTGAGGCACACCATGTGTCACCTTAGGGAATGTACACACACACACACACACACACACACACACGGCAGAGATGTGATTTATGGAGGCTGTGACGCCATCAAGCAGGCCGCGTGAGAGCGTATGTCGATGGAGCCTCATCCCCCAAACAACCTTCACCCCCTCCCCCCTCCAATCCTCTACGACTACCGTCCCTGCGGGAAGTGTTACTGTGGAAAGTGGAGTAAGCGATAGGGGACGTCGGCAGCCAATCTCACTCACGTACACACCATGAGGAATCCAAAGCACACACAATACGAGCAAGTTACACATCTGCGCGTTGTGGTGCTCTGGAGCCCCCACAGCTCCCTGCTGGACCGAGACCTCTTTGCTTTTTCCTTTTCCGCGATACAGTGTATGCGATTTGTATTTGATCTTTTTTTTTCGCGGACCTCGAAAAGCATGACAGCTGCTCGCCGCAGCAGTTGATGGGTTCGTTTTCAGATGTGTTTTTTAAGCTTGCCTTCCAATGCGTGTGATGGGTTCGTTCCGCTGCGCGGCGCAGAGCGTGGTTTTGCTGACAGAGCAAAGTGGGCCAGAAGTCCGGCGGAGGTGGCGAAAATTCTAGACGCGTTTTGAGCTCCAGAATCGCTAAACAGGGCTCGAACCGAACGTGTGACCCCACCAATGGATTGCTCTCCGAACGAGGAATCCGTTGGTGGGGTCGCACGCTCGGTTCGAGGCCTGTTTGGCGACTCTGAAACTCAGAACGCATCTACTAGAGTTATGCCCGGCTCCACCGGTCCTCTGGCCCACTGCGCGCTGCCGCGGCATGCGAACGCGAGCTCCCCATTCCCGATGGATAACAGCCGAATAAATCCACCGGCATCCGCGCCATCGCCTGATCCCCGGACAAGGGGACCCCCAACCCCCTCCCCTCTCCTCCCCTCCCCTCCCGCAGGCTTCAATCACCGTATCTTCACCTCCACCGTCTTGCAGGCAGGCAGAGCAGGCGGGACTGGGATTGGTGAGAGGAGCAGGAGGAGGAAGAAGAGACGTGGCGTGGCCCAGAAGGGTAAACAAGTGGAAAAACGGCAGCCAGGCGGGCGCGAACCGTGAACCTTCCCCTTTACCACGCGCCGCGCCGCGCCGCTCAGACGATCGGCTTCAGCTCCGCATCAGTGCTCCGGCAGCCCGCCGCGCGTCCCGTGAGTTGGAACCAAAATACCGCTGCGCTGCCAGCTCTGCCTGGCCGCCACTCCCCGGCCGGCCGGCCCGCGGCTAGGTAGACTAGGCCGTACCGGCCAACACCTCTAATCCGCGCCGAGCCGAGCCTGGCCGAGCCCCGACCTACTTCACAAGCCACCCCTTTCCGGTCGCGCTTCTTCCCCCATCCACTTCTATTCCGAGGATGCTGAGCTGAGCCCCCCCCCCCCTCCCCCTTCCCCCAGACGCCACGCCGCAACTGCTGCATCAGCGCGCACGTTGTTGAAGAGCATCCAAGTTGGAAAAGGTCGCTCGTGCTGGATGTAACGCTGCCCGTTCCGAGACCCGGCCGGGCTGCCAAGTGAAAGGTGGAAGCCCCGCCGAGGCGGACGGAAAAAAGACACAGTATTTGCACGGCTGATTGGTTTGCTTGCCCTTTGCAGCGCCGCCGACGGTCACAGCCCGTAGAGCTCACCTGGAACACACAAACAGGAAAGGGGTTCAGCGCGATGACCAAGGAAGGACAGGGTGCAGTGGGCCAGAAGGCCGGTGGAGGCGGTCGAAATCCCGGACGCGTTTTGAGCTTCAGAGTCGCTGAATGGGACACGAACAGAACGTGTGACCCCACCAAAGGATTGCTCTCCGATTGAGTAATCCATTGATGGGGTCACACGTTTGGTTCGAGTCCAGTTTAGCGACTCTGGAGCTCAAAACGCGTCTAGAGTTTTGGCCGCTGGGCGGTGTTCGTGCAGGCTGGCAGAATATCCACCAGCGGCCAGCAGCAGTGTGTGACGCAGACGGTTCCAGCGAAAACCCTACACACATGCAATCCAGTCCTCAAATGGGACTTTAATCAAGTGCCACGATAACAAACACAGCTCCCTCGTTCCAGGAGCGGCCCGTTCAAATCGAGTGGTCGGTTCGAGGAATCGGACCCCGGTCAAAGGAGCCAAACCAGTCTGTCGATACAGTGCGGACACGACATGCCCTCAAAGGCCCTGACGGCCGGTCGGGTTGCCATGGCAGCCGAGGTTATTCCAGGGCACAGTACAGCAGCCATATCGAGCAGCCAGACCGAGCAGTCAGACCGAGCAGCCAGACCGAGCAGCCCGGAAGCGTCCCCAAGAACTTCGACAGAGGACGGCGTCGGCCGGGACGCGCGGGATTAGTAAAGTCTGCCTGCTGCTGTGTGTCTCGGCAAAGCCATGGCCGAGGCCGGCTGCTAAACTACAGCCCCCCCCCCCCACCCCTTCTGGTGCGAGAGTTCCTCACCAAGGGCGCGTCGGGTGTCACTTGAAAGGGTCCAAAAGGGCCCCGAGCCCTTTGACAGACACGCCCAGGCGGAGCCCCGGGGGCCTGAATGGGGTTTAGGTGCAGTTTAGGGGGCGGGGACGTTTGACGAAGAAGTGTGCACGTTTTGGACGCGCAGCAGTAAGGAAGCCGCCGTGAGCACAGTGGGCCAAAAGTCTCGACGCGTTTGAGCCCCAGAGTCGCTAAGTGGGACTCGAACTGGGCGTGTGACCCCACCAATGGATTCCTCGTTCGGAGAGCAATCCACTGGTGGGGTCACACGTTCGGTTCGAGTGTTATTCAGCGACTCTGGAGCTCGAAACGCGTCCGGGATTGTGACCGCCTCCGCCGGTCTTCTGGCCCACTGTGCGTCGCGGACCTGACCTACACGACACAGACTCATTCGGCGGGGCGTCTCCCCCGGGGCTGGGCGGGCCGGGCGGGCCGGGCTTCTGGCCCACTGTGCGTCGCGGACCTGACCTACACGACACAGACTCATTCGGCGGGGCGTCTCCCCCGGGGCTGGGCGGGCCGGGCGGGCCGGGCTTCTGGCCCACTGTGCGTCGCGGACCTGACCTACACGACACAGACTCATTCGGCGGGGCGTCTCCCCCGGGGCTGGGCGGGCCGGGCGGGCCGGGCTTCTGGCCCACTGTGCGTCGCGGACCTGACCTACACGACACAGACTCATTCGGCGGGGCGTCTCCCCGGGGCTGGGCGGGCCGGGCGGGCCGGGCTTCTGGCCCACTGTGCGTCGCGGACCTGACCTACACGACACAGACTCATTCGGCGGGGCGTCTCCCCCGGGGCTGGGCGGGCCGGGCGGGCCGGGCTTCTGGCCCACTGTGCGTCGCGGACCTGACCTACACGACACAGACTCATTCGGCGGGGCGTCTCCCCCGGGGCTGGGCGGGCCGGGCGGGCCGGGCTTCTGGCCCACTGTGCGTCGCGGACCTGACCTACACGACACAGACTCATTCGGCGGGGCGTCTCCCCCGGGGCTGGGCGGGCCGGCGGGCGGCTTCTGGCCCACTGTGCGTCGCGGACCTGACCTACACGACACAGACTCATTCGGCGGGGCGTCTCCCCGGGGCTGGGCGGGCCGGGCGGGCCGGGCTTCTGGCCCACTGTGCGTCGCGGACCTGACCTACACGACACAGACTCATTCGGCGGGGCGTCTCCCCCGGGGCTGGGCGGGCCGGGCGGGCCGGGCTTCTGGCCCACTGTGCGTCGCGGACCTGACCTACACGACACAGACTCATTCGGCGGGGCGTCTCCCCCGGGGCTGGGCGGGCCGGGCGGGCCGGGCTTCTGGCCCACTGTGCGTCGCGGACCTGACCTACACGACACAGACTCATTCGGCGGGGCGTCTCCCCGGGGCTGGGCGGGCCGGGCGGGCCGGGCTTCTGGCCCACTGTGCGTCGCGGACCTGACCTACACGACACAGACTCATTCGGCGGGGCGTCTCCCCCGGGGCTGGGCGGGCCGGGCGGGCCGGGCTTCTGGCCCACTGTGCGTCGCGGACCTGACCTACACGACACAGACTCATTCGGCGGGGCGTCTCCCCCGGGGCTGGGCGGGCCGCGGCGGGCGGGGCGCCGACGGCCGGGCTTCGGCCCAGTGCGTCGCTGGCGGGCGACGCGCTGACCCTACACGACACAGACTCATTCGGCGGGGCGTCTCCCCGGGGCTGGGCGGGCCGGGCGGGCCGGGCTTCTGGCCCACTGTGCGTCGCGGACCTGACTACACGACACAGACTCATTCGGCGGGGCGTCTCCCCCGGGGCTGGGCGGGCCGGGCGGGCCGGGCTTCTGGCCCACTGTGCGTCGCGGACCTGACGCTACACGACCGACTCATTCGGCGGTGGCGTCTCCCCGGGGCTGGGCGGGCCGGGCGGGCCGGGCTTCTGGCCCACTGTGCGTCGCGGACCTGACCTACACGACACAGACTCTTCGGCGGGGCGTCTCCCCGGGGCTGGGCGGCCGGGCGGCCGGGCTTCTGGCCCACGTGCGTCCGGACTGCTCCGACAGCAGGCGGGCGCTCGGCGCGCCGGCTGACACGCCACGCCCGCATCACAACGGCCGCGAGAATGCGTTTCTCCGGCGGGGCGACGGTCGGACCGGCTGCGACGCCTGCCGTACCGCCAGGCGGCGCTCCATGTCCTCCGGAGGGTCCAGGCGCGCCTGGTGAATCTCCTACGGACTCTCGATCTCAGGTCCTTGACGCTCGCCACGTTGGGGTCCTGCGTCTGCACGGGCGTCTTCATGTCCTGCGCCAAGCAGCACGCTCGTCAAAATTTCCGTTGCAATTTTTTTCCCACGTTGTTTGAACACTTTTGATGGCGCGTAGTTTGGTGTGGCGGTAACCTGCGCGGGTTTGAGGAAGGACCGGAAGGTCTGCAGGGACGCGGGGCTGAAGCCGCACCGCATCAGGCGGCGCTCCATGTCCTCCTGGGGGTCGGGCGGCCGGTTCGGCTTGGTCAGGTTCAGGTAGCCGTTGTAGATGAAGGCGATGAAGTTGAGGCCGCGGTCCAGCTGGCTGCGCTCCTCGCGCACCGAGTCGTAGTTGTACGACAGGATGACGAAGAACATGTTGTGGAAGACGAAGATGACGATGAAGATGAGTAGCAGGAAGTACACGGGGCCGGTGCCGCTGTGCGCCGTCAGGATCACGTCGGACCGCATCTCGCCCAAGGCGATGGCCAGGATGGCGAGCGCGCTCTCGGAGAAGGTCTTGAACGGCGAGACCTGGGAGGGAGGGGTTGAGGTTGGGGTCCACGGGGGGCGAGGCCTACCGCAACACGGTGTGCCAGAAGACCGACACCGGCGGTCAAACTTTAGACGCGTTTTGAGCGCATAGACGCTAAACTGGATGCGAATTGAACGAGTGACCCCATCAATGGATTCCTCGTTCGGAGAGCAATCCAGTGGTGGGGTCACTCGTTCAATTCGCATCCAGTTTAGCGTCTATGCGCTCAAAACGCGTCCGGGAGTTTCAGCCGCCTCCCCCGGTCATCTGGCCCACTGTGCGTAAAGCCACCCCGCGCCCACCTGGTCGCCGAAGAGGTAATAGCCCGCCTGCGCGAAGGCGCAGTGCAGCACCAGGTACATGGCGAAGTAGCCGATGAGGTCGAAGCGGGAGCGCTGCAGCGTCACCAGCACCTGCAGCAAGTGCGTGCTTCACATGCCGCAGCGCGCGGGCCGGGGATCACGCCGACGCCGCACAGTGGGTCAGAATACCGGTGGAGGCGGTCCCGGACGCGTTTTGAGCTCCAGAGTCACTAAACAGGACTCGAACTGGGCGTGTGCCCCCACCAATGGATGGCTCTCCGAACGAGGAATCCATTGGTGGGGTCACACGGTCGGTTCGAGTCCTGTTTAGCGACTCTGGAGCTCAAAACGCGTCTAGAATGTTGGCCGCCTCCACCGGTCTTCTGGCAAATCCACTGTGCGAGGCTGACCTGCGTAGTGACGCGGTGGTACTGGAACGTGCGCAGCCACGTGACGAACACCACGCCCGCCGTGAGCTGGGTGCAGCCCATGGTGTAGTACAGGAAGGGGTGCGCGCGCTGCGAGGCGGCCAGCCCCTCGGCCTGCATGGACAGCAGCAGCCGCGTCGCCTCGTCGTACCGGTGCACGCCGAACCAGATGGCGCCCCAGCTCATGCCCAGCATCAGCAGGTTCATGAGCGTCCACATGGACGAGTAGTGCTCCGCCGCGAACCGCCACAGGTCCCCTGCGATCCCAACGCCCCGGCACACTGTGAAAATTTGTTGTCACTTTATGACAAAAACGTGAATGACATTTTCATCACTTTGAAATGATGACAATCTCGTCACAAATTGGTGACATTTTTATCAAAGCTCCTATACTTATTGCATGGGCGTGACAACACTGTCATTAATTGACTTGATGACACCCTTGTAAGGAAAATTAGCCTTGAAATTAGCATCAAGTGATGACTCAAATTTTCACACTGCAGTGGGCAAGGGCGACCGAACCAGTTCACGCAACCTCCAGTTCGGGACTTTCTTTCGACAATTTTCCCCACAAGTTTTTCTAAAATTTACTCAATAATGTTCGTCAACACTCAAAGGCACTTGACGCAGTACGATACGTGAAGCGACCCACCGCCGATTGCGTTCCTCAGATCATAAAACGAACATCATTGTTATTATGGCGATTCATTAGAACGCGTGTGCAGTACTGTGCGTGACGTACGTGTGTGTGTGTGTGTGTGTGAGAGAGAGAGAGAGAGAGAGAGAGAGAGAGAGAGAGAGAGAGAGAGAGAGAGAGAGAGAGAGAGAGAGAGAGAGAGAGAGAGACATCGCATGCTCGCTCAAGCGTGAGGCAACCCCCTCAGTACTTCACCTTCTCTATCATCGACCCAGCTCGCGATGTCAACACCGCCGGCCGGGCTGGCAAGAAGGGGAGGGGGAAAATGTTTGCACAAACACAACAAACATTTAGCAGCACGTTCCATCGGAATGATTCGTCAGCCGAAATAAAAAAGGGGGGAATGAAAATGAGCAGACTGAATGGGATTTAATAATAAAGAAAAAAAAGGATGTCGCGGGGCTTGTTTGCGCAGTGAAAGTACGGGCAAGGCGTGGGTACACTAGTCACGCGGCGCGGCGCGACGCTGCCCCCTCGCGTTATACGGGATTAGTGCGCTCTGGAAAAGGACCATCAACACCACAAACGGTCCATCACGCTGGCGGGGTCTCTCGCACTGCCGACACCGCAGAGTGGGCGGCGGCCGGATACGGGGAGGAGCCTACTTTGAGCAGGAGTTCGGCACAAACTGTTTAGATTGTTACAGGAACAAATAATTTGTAAATCACTGAAGTTAAAACATGGGTACTAAAAACAATTACAAAAAAAATACGATTCCTTTTTAAACAGTACTCGAACCCCGCTCTCCACTGTGTCCCGTAACTTTCAACACTTTTGCAGTATCTCGACCCGATAGCGCACCATAAGCGACCGAGCCTTTGGCCTGCCGCATTAGGGCGGAGCATACTATTTGGGTCAGGCCGGTCTGGGCGGGGCATTATACTCTCGTAACCATTGACTCCCAGGAGTACACCATCCCTAGGGACAGTGTACTCTCCCCTTAGGTAGAGTACACCATCCCTAGGGATAGTGTACTCCCCTACCTCGAGAGGGGGGGAGTACATTGACCCTAGGGATAGTGTACTCCCGGGGGTACACTATCCCTAGGGTCAATGTACTCCCCTCCTCTCGAGGTAGGGGAGTACACTATCCCTAGGGATGGTGTACTCTCCCTAAGGGGGGCGTACACTGTCCCTAGGGCCAATGTACTCCCCCACTAGCAGGGGAGTACTTGGTCCCTAGGGATATTGTACTCCCCTACCAGCATGGGAGTACATGTTCTCCCCTTCCAAGAGAAGGGTAGGGTCAAGAGTAGGTTAAGATCTGACGCGAGTTGAGTAAGATCTATCAGCGTCAAACAGCGAGGCTGTGCCAGCGTCAAACAGCGAGGCTGTGCCAGCCTCACACAGCGAGGCTGTGCCAGCGTCCAACAGCGAGGCTGTGCCAGCGTCAAACAGCGAGGCTGTGCCAGCGTCAAACAGCGAGGCTGTGCCAGCGTCAAACAGCGAGGCTGTGCCAGCCTCACACAGCGAGGCTGTGCCAGCGTCAAACAGCGAGGCTGTGCCAGCGTCAAACAGCGAAACTGTGCCAGCGTCAAACAGCGAGGCTGTGCCAGCGTCAAACAGCGAGGCTGTGCCAGCGTCAAACAGCGAGGCTGTGCCAGCCTCACACAGCGAGGCTGTGCCAGCGTCAAACAGCGCGGCTGTGCCAGCGTCAAACAGCGAGGCGGTGCCAGCGTCAAACAGCGAGGCTGTGCCAGCCTCACACAGCGAGGCTGTGCCAGCCTCACACAGCGAGGCTGTGCCAGCCTCACACAGCGAGGCTGTGCCAGCGTCAAACAGCGAGGCTGTGCCAGCGTCAAACAGCGAGGCTGTACCAGCTTCAAACAGCGAGGCTGTGCCAGCGTCAAACAGCGAGGCTGTGCCAGCGTCAAACAGCGAGGCTGTGCCAGGGTCAAACAGCGAGGCTGTGCCAGCGTCAAACAGCGAGGCTGTGCCAGCGTCAAACAGCGAGGCTGTGCCAGCCTCACAAAGCGAGCCTGTGCCAGCGTCAAACAGCGAGGCGGTGCCAGCGTCAAACAGCGAGGCTGTGCCAGCCTCACACAGCGAGGCTGTGCCAGCGTCAAACAGCGCGGCTGTGCCAGCGTCAAACAGCGAGGCGGTGCCAGCGTCAAACAGCGAGGCTGTGCCAGCCTCACACAGCGAGGCTGTGCCAGCCTCACACAGCGAGGCTGTGCCAGCCTCACACAGCGAGGCTGTGCCAGCGTCAAACAGCGAGGCTGTGCCAGCGTCAAACAGCGAGGCAGTGCCAGCGTCAAACAGCGAGGCTGTGCCAGCCTCACACAGCGAGGCTGTGCCAGCGTCAAACAGCGCGGCTGTGCCAGCGTCAAACAGCGAGGCGGTGCCAGCGTCAAACAGCGAGGCTGTGCCAGCCTCACACAGCGAGGCTGTGCCAGCCTCACACAGCGAGGCTGTGCCAGCGTCAAACAGCGAGGCTGTGCCAGCGTCAAACAGCGAGGCAGTGCCAGCGTCAAACAGCGAGGCTGTGCCAGCCTCACAAAGCGAGCCTGTGCCAGCGTCAAACAGCGAGGCTGTGCCAGCGTCAAACAGCGAGGCTGTGCCAACCTCACACAGCGAGGCGGTGCCAGCGTCAAACAGCGAGGCTGTGCCAGCCTCACACAGCGAGGCTGTGCCAGCCTCACACAGCGAGGCTGTGCCAGCCTCACACAGCGAGGCTGTGCCAGCGTCAAACAGCGAGGCTGTGCCAGCGTCAAACAGCGAGGCTGTACCAGCTTCAAACAGCGAGGCTGTGCCAGCGTCAAACAGCGAGGCTGTGCCAGCGTCAAACAGCGAGGCTGTGCCAGGGTCAAACAGCGAGGCTGTGCCAGCGTCAAACAGCGAGGCTGTGCCAGCGTCAAACAGCGAGGCTGTGCCAGCCTCACAAAGCGAGCCTGTGCCAGCGTCAAACAGCGAAGCTGTGCCAGCGTCAAACAGCGAGGCTGTGCCAGCCTCACACAGCGAGGCTGTGCCAGCGTCAAACAGCGAGGCTGTGCCAGCGTCAAACAGCGAGGCTGTGCCAGCGTCAAACAGCGAGGCTGTGCCAGCCTAACACAGCGAGGCTGTGCCAGCGTCAAACAGCGAGGCTGTACCAGCGTCAAACAGCGAGGCTGTGCCAGCGTCAAACAGCGAGGCTGTGCCAGCGTCAAACAGCGAGGCTGTGCCAGCGTCAAACAGCGAGGCTGTGCCAGCGTCAAACAGCGAGGCTGTGCCAGCGTCAAACAGCGAGATTGTGCCAGCCTCACACAGCGAGGCTGTGCCAGCGTCAAACAGCGCGGCTGTGCCAGCGTCAAACAGCGAGGCGGTGCCAGCGTCAAACAGCGAGGCTGTGCCAGCCTCACACAGCGAGGCTGTGCCAGCCTCACACAGCGAGGCTGTGCCAGCCTCACACAGCGAGGCTGTGCCAGCGTCAAACAGCGAGGCTGTGCCAGCGTCAAACAGCGAGGCAGTGCCAGCGTCAAACAGCGAGGCTGTGCCAGCCTCACAAAGCGAGCCTGTGCCAGCGTCAAACAGCGAGGCTGTGCCAGCGTCCAACAGCGAGGCTGTGCCACCTCACACAGCGAGGCTGTGCCAGCGTCAAACAGCGAGGCTGTGCCAGCGTCAAACAGCGAGGCTGTGCCAGCGTCAAACAGCGAGGCTGTGCCAGCCTCAAACAGCTAGGCTGTGCCAGCCTCACACAGCGAGGCTGTGCCAGCGTCAAACAGCGAGGCTGTGCCAGCGTCAAACAGCGAGGCTGTGCCAGCGTCAAACAGCGAGGCTGTGCCAGCGTCAAACAGCGAAATTGTGCCAGCGTCAAACAGCGAGGCTGTGCCAGCGTCAAACAGCGAGGCTGTGCCAGCGTCAAACAGCGAGGCTGTGCCAGCCTCACACAGCGAGGCTGTGCCAGCGTCAAACAGCGCGGCTGTGCCAGCGTCAAACAGCGAGGCGGTGCCAGCGTCAAACAGCGAGGCTGTGCCAGCCTCACACAGCGAGGCTGTGCCAGCCTCACACAGCGAGGCTGTGCCAGCCTCACACAGCGAGGCTGTGCCAGCGTCAAACAGCGAGGCTGTGCCAGCGTCAAACAGCGAGGCTGTACCAGCTTCAAACAGCGAGGCTGTGCCAGCGTCAAACAGCGAGGCTGTGCCAGCGTCAAACAGCGAGGCTGTGCCAGCGTCAAACAGCGAGGCTGTGCCAGCGTCAAACAGCGAGGCTGTGCCAGCGTCAAACAGCGAGGCTGTGCCAGCCTCACAAAGCGAGCCTGTGCCAGCGTCAAACAGCGAGGCTGTGCCAGCGTCAAACAGCGAGGCTGTGCCAGCCTCACACAGCGAGGCTGTGCCAGCGTCAAACAGCGAGGCTGTGCCAGCGTCAAACAGCGAGGCTGTGCCAGCGTCAAACAGCGAGGCTGTGCCAGCCTAACACAGCGAGGCTGTGCCAGCGTCAAACAGCGAGGCTGTGCCAGCCTCACAAAGCGAGCCTGTGCCAGCGTCAAACAGCGAGGCTGTGCCAGCGTCAAACAGCGAGGCTGTGCCAGCCTCACACAGCGAGGCTGTGCCAGCGTCAAACAGCGAGGCTGTGCCAGCGTCAAACAGCGAGGCTGTGCCAGCGTCAAACAGCGAGGCTGTGCCAGCCTAACACAGCGAGGCTGTGCCAGCGTCAAACAGCGAGGCTGTACCAGCGTCAAACAGCGAGGCTGTGCCAGCGTCAAACAGCGAGGCTGTGCCAGCCTCACACAGCGAGGCTGTGCCAGCGTCAAACAGCGAGGCTGTGCCAGCGTCAAACAGCGAGGCTGTGCCAGCCTCACACAGCGAGGCTGTGCCAGCGTCAAACAGCGAGGCTGTGCCAGCGTCAAACAGCGAGGCTGTGCCAGCGTCAAACAGCGAGGCTGTGCCAGCCTAACACAGCGAGGCTGTGCCAGCGTCAAACAGCGAGGCTGTACCAGCGTCAAACAGCGAGGCTGTGCCAGCGTCAAACAGCGAGGCTGTGCCAGCCTCACACAGCGAGGCTGTGCCAGCGTCAAACAGCGAGGCTGTGCCAGCGTCAAACAGCGAGGCTGTGCCAGCGTCAAACAGCGAGGCTGTGCCAGCGTCAAACAGCGAGGCTGTGCCAGCCTCACACAGCGAGGCTGTGCCAGCCTCACACAGCGAGGCTGTGCCAGCGTCAAACAGCGAGGCTGTGCCAGCCTAACACAGCGAGGCTGTGCCAGCGTCAAACAGCGAGGCTGTGCCAGCCTCACACAGCGAGGCTGTGCCAGCGTCAAACAGCGAGGCTGTGCCAGCGTCAAACAGCGAGGCTGTGCCAGCGTCAAACAGCGAGGCTGTGCCAGCCTCACACAGCGAGGCTGTGCCAGCCTCACACAGCGAGGCTGTGCCAGCGTCAAACAGCGAGGCTGTGCCAGCGTCAAACAGCGAGGCTGTGCCAGCGTCAAACAGCGAGGCTGTGCCAGCGTCAAACAGCGAGGCTGTGCCAGCCTCACACAGCGAGGCTGTGCCAGCCTCACACAGCGAGGCTGTGCCAGCGTCAAACAGCGAGGCTGTGCCAGCCTAACACAGCGAGGCTGTGCCAGCGTCAAACAGCGAGGCTGTGCCAGCCTCACACAGCGAGGCTGTGCCAGCGTCAAACAGCGAGGCTGTGCCAGCGTCAAACAGCGAGGCTGTGCCAGCGTCAAACAGCGAGGCTGTGCCAGCGTCCAGGGCCGCCGGAAGTACTTTCTAGTGGGGGGGGGGCGAAATTTTTATGAAAAATTGTTGGGTTGCCTACCGTTAAGGGGCAACACCCAATACGGTTTAGACTTCTCTAATAGTGTTCCAAATCCAGCGAGCGAAGCGAGCTTAAAGCGAAAATTCACACAATTCTAGACTTTAACACAACTTTTGCCATTTTTAGAGCCTAATCACACGCTTTATTGGTGGGCGAAGCGAGCCAAACGGCAAAATAATGGAGGAAAATTAAGAAAACCTGCGAGCGAAGCGAGCAAGAAGTCAAAAATCAAAGAATTTGCGACTTTGCTATATTTTTTTCTCTATTTCGAGCTCAAAATGGCACTTTAGTGTCTGAAAGTGGGGGGGGGGCGATGCCCCCCCCCACCAGATTTTGGGGGGGGGGGGGCAAGTCGCCCTCCCCCGCACCCCACTTCCGGCGCCCTTGAGATCTGTGAGGAGCCCGTTAGGTTAGGACTGGTTGGACCATTATGTTTGATTATAATATCTGTCGAGAGTAGGGTAACATCCGTCGCGAGTAGAGTAAGATCTATCCCGAGCCCGTTAGGTTTGGTTAGGATTGGTTGGACAGTTTAGATTTAGAATATTAAGTAGCCTTCCGTTGATGCAAGGAAAACCCAACCCAACCAACCCGACAACGGCATCTGCCCTATGACGTCTGCCATTTGGGGGAGTACATTATCCCTAGGGACCAAGTACTCCCCTGCTGGTGGGGGAGTACACCATCCCTAGGGCCAATGTACTCCCCCCTCAAGAGAGGGGGAGTACCTTCACTCTAGGGATAGTGTACTCCCGGGGGAGTACACTATCCCTAGGGTCAATGTACTCCCCCCCTCTCGAGGTAGGGGAGTACACTATCCCCAGGGATGGTGTACTCTCCCTAAGGGGGGAGTACATTGTCCCTATGGATGGTGTACTGGGGAGTAACTCAATCCGGGGAGTAGGATATCCCGCTTACACCGGCCGGCAGGCCCAACGCTATAAACAAGTCTTTACTGCAGCCCGTAAATTATTCTCGCCACACATTGATCGGGCGGCCCGGAATAACCGAGGCTAAGCCCCGCGCGACAGAGATGTTCCCGACAGTTATGAGGCAGGCTGCTCTGGCACACTGTGCGTCGGGGCCCTGGCACGCATGACAGCGCGTGCCTTATCGTGGCGCGGCAACAGCCTCGCCTCAAAATAAAGCGAGCGCACTTAATGAAGTGGCGGTGCCACACAGTGGGCCAGAAGACCGGTGGAGGCGGCCAAAATTCTAGACGCGTTTTGAGCTCCAGAGTCGCTACATGGGACTCGAACCGAGCGTGTGACCCCACCAATGGATTGCTCTCCGAACGAGGAATCCATTGGTAGGGTCACACGCTCGGTTTGAGTCCCATTTAACGACTCTGGAGCTCAGAATTCGTCCAGAATTTTGGCCGCTTCCTCCAGTATCCTGGCACACTGTGCACGACCGGCCTTTCTCACTGTTTTCGTGTTGGTTTCTGTCTCTAGAGAACGCACGTCGGTGCCGGAGCAGCAGCAGCCACTCGTTGGCCGTGAGCATGAAGGTGCTGATGGAGAAGAGGATCTCGTGGCCCAGGATCCAGTAGTCCAGCATGGTGGCGTACTGCATGAGCGGCGCGCACCGGATGTTGATGAAGGGCACCACGCCGCCGCCGGGCGGCAGCTCGAAGCGCACGCCCACGTGGCACACCTCGTTGCAGTTGGCGTTGTACGAGGCGTGCTCCACGAACACGGCGCGCGTCGCCTCGTCCACCCAGCTGTTGTTCTTGGGGAGGGCGGGGGGAGGGGCGGGGTTACGCGAGGTAAAGAGTAGTCGGTGTCGCGGCGGTGCACTTTCGGTGTACCTTGAGGGTCTCCAGGGCCTCCTTGGCGGCGTCCCCGTCGCGCGGGAAGTCCGTCCAGAAGCCCCCCGGCGGGTAGGCGTGCAGGTACCCGTACGACGTGTCGCCCTCGTCGTCGTCGCGGTGCGTCCAGGCCTCGCCCTGGCCGAGCCCGAACGGCGCCGTGTCCGCCGTGGCCTCGTCGAAAAAGCTGTAGCACTTGTCGAAGCGCGCGGCGAACTCGGGCCGCCGCGCCACGATGCAGGGCCCGGCCCGGACGCGCAGCTGGCGGAAGCGCACCCTGCCCACCAGCGGGTTGTCCTTCGTGATGGCGGGCGGGTCGTCCTCGCCCACCGCCTCCACCAGGTAGTCCATGAAGCTCCACAGCCGCTGCAAAGGGCCCGGGGTGGCACAGTGGACCAGAAGACCGGTACCGATGGCCAAAACTCAAGACGTGTTTTGAGCTCCAAAGTCGCTAACAGGGCTCGAACCGAACGTGTGACTCCTCGTTCGGAGAGCAGTCCATTGGTGGGGTCACACGTTCGGTTTGAGTCCCATTTAGCGACTCTGGAAACGCGTCCGGGATTTTGACCGCCTCCACCGGTCTTCTGGCCCACTGCGCGTGGCCTAACTCGGAAACAAAATGACCGAGTCGTTCCCCGGCGGAATTACCTCCACCGAGTCCACCTCGTAGAAGGTAATCATCTGGTTGACGGGGCCGTCCGGGAAGTGGTTGTTGCAGTAGAAGTCCTCGAGGGCGTCGTGGGTGAAGAACATGAACCGGTCGAGGCGGCAGAGGCAGGTGAGGTTCATGAGGATGAGCAGGAACAGGTGCAGGATGAAGCCCTTGAACGGGCGCCACATGGCCCGGAACTCCTCCAGCTCCAGCGACCGGTCGGCCATCCAGCGCCGACCGAACTTGAGGGCGCAGTGCATGCGGAAGGCGACGTCGGGGAGGTCTCGGAGCGGCCTCGGGGGCGGCGGCGGCACCTTGCCGTCGCCCGAGTGCGACCGCCACCACATGGCTCGCTGCAAACCGAGGGACCTCTTTGACGTGCGCCGCGCTCTCACTACAGTGGCACTACACGCACGCCGTCGAGAGTGTGCCGCGCATCCCCACACACGCATCCCCAGCATTCCATTTCGCGGGAGGCTGCCACCACTGTGCAGTGGGCCAGAAGACCGGTCGGTGGAGGCGGTCAAAATCCCGGACGAGTTTTGAGCTCCCGAGTCGCTAACAAACTCGAACCGAACGTGTGACCCCCACCAATGGATTGGTCTCCGAACGAGGAATCGATTGGTGGGGTCACACGTCCGGTTCGAGTACTGTTTAGCGACTCAGGAGCCCAAAACGCGTCCAGAGTTTTGGCCGCCGGCTCACTGGGCTGCGGGTTGGGGGCCCGCCCGCCGGCCCACTGGGCTGCGGGTTGGGGGCCCGCCCTGACAGTGGTCAACTAGGCCCGATTTCCTCGTAATACAACTTGGCCGCGGCGCGGCGGCGCGCGGCGACAACACGGAAACTCATCAAACTTGTCCGGCAGGCGCGCCGGGCGTCGCCACCGGTTAACGGGGGCGTAATGGCATTCTTGGGCACGTCAAAAGGCGGTCAAAGGCGCCGCGCCGCGACGGTGAAGCCCATTGGTGACGCCCGGCCGCCAGGTCCGCGTGGCCCACCGCAAGAATGTCCGGCCGATCGCAGTGGCCCAGCCCGGCCCGGCCGAGGCCATTGGACTTCAAGGAGGCCTAGAACGATGATAAACGGGACAGTCGCCGTTATTCTCCCCGTAAAACTTTTACTGTACGCACTTCTACGGAGGTGTGCGTTTGCCCGCCAGTCACTTACCGCGCTACTTTATCCCCTGTCACTTTTTTACGGGTCGCCCGCCCCGCGGGCCGCGCGCCTACAATGTAACAAAGAGCAACTTTCACTTCCGTGCCGCGCCGCCGCGTTGCCGCCCCGTCGCCTCGGCGGAGTCAGGATGTTTGACGTATTGGCAGTGGACAGGCCGTCGCATCCTCAGGGAGTCAAACACTACCCTAATAAGCATATCAATAATGCAAGTGCGGCCCTCGCTATCAATCATGGCCTCGACTTAGCATGGGCCACGGCGCCCGGGCCCGGAAGCCCCGGACATGACGTACAGTGGGCCAGAAGACCGGTGGAGGCGGACAAAACTCTAGACGCGTTTTGAGCTCCAGAGTCGACTCGTGCCGAACGTGAGACCCCACCAATGGATTCCTAGTTCTGAGAGCAATCCATTGATGGGGTCACACGTTCGGTTCGAGTCCCTGCTAGCGACTCTGGAGCTCAAAACGCGTCCGAGATTTTTGACCACCGCCTCCGGTCTTCTGGCCCACCGTGCGACGCGCTGCCTGGGTACAGCCACCACCCAAACTTTGCTTGCCGTGGGACACTTTGCTAAGCGCCCCGATCGCGTCGCTGACGGAGCCTTGGCGGAGCCCTGGTACAGCCCTGGTGGAGCCTTGGCGGAGCCCCGCCGCGGAAAATGATGAATTGGCCTTCCCGGGATGGGATGAGGCACTAACTTGTCGGGGAGAGGGGGGGGGCATCTCACCAGATATCCGGGGGGCTCCACTGCAGAGTACTGTCAGTCGCAAAAGCCACTCCACTGTCAATACTCCATCGACGGCGCGGTGTCGGCTCGATCCACTGTCCTACCGGCGACACTACACGAACAGAGGTCAACACGCGGCACTTTTATTTGATTTTTATCATGCTTTATTATAGTGATGATGTGCATAGTATTTCATGTTTTGAGAAATGTAGTTTTTTTTTTACGGGAACGCTTGGCAGGTGGTTGTGTTGGCCGTTTTGCACCGACTCTCCATTCGATACGCCTCGCTCCTCAGGGGCACGTCGCGAATGAATAAAGAAGGGGATAAAGCGAACGACGGCCGTAATAAAAGAGAGGGAAACAAAAACAAAAGGCAACAACAGAAAGAAGAAAAACTAAAAAGACTTATAGCCGTGCCGGGTGTGCGCGGGCTTTGGCATTTCAGAAATCCGGCGAGCCCCAGCGGCCGAGGCGTAGCAGGACAAGTAAAATGATTGCTCTTGCATGGGGATACTGCCGCCCTGGAGGTCCTGAAGGCCGTCCTGGAGGTCCTGGAGGCCCTGGAGGCCCTGGAGGCCCTGGGCACTGGAAGGCCGCGGCCAGCCAGGCGGCGCGCGGCATCACAGTGACACGACCACCGCCCCGCCCCGCCCCGCCCCGCCCCGATCCTCGCATCGCAGTCCCGTCGTTCGTTTCCTTGGCGCACAATAGGATTTAAGCTGAATCCAATTACGGTGGCGTGGGGAAGGGGGAGGGAGGAGGGGGAGGGCTCCGTCGGGACGCGCGCACAACATCCTCCTGGCCCCTCGCGTCTTCGCTCTGCTAGGGAGGATCAGGGCGTGGCGGGTCAAAGGGCGGCCGCCTCAGAAAGAACGCCAATACGCCTCACCGCGAGAGAGAGAGAGAGAGAGAGAGAGAGAGAGAGAGAGAGAGAGAGAGAGAGAGAGAGAGAGAGAGAGAGTTTTCCTCGGGGGTTCACTTGGAATTAATGTCCCCGGCTTGCCCTCGGACGCACCGGCAGGGACTGTCCGTGACGCTGAGGTGTCGCTGATTCCGAAAAGTGCTTCTTTCGTCGTCGCTCTGTCTCTCTCGAACTCGCGGGGCGTTCCGCAAGTGTGCGAGAGAGACAGAGCGCTGTTCGCAGTCAGCCTGCAGCAAAGGTGGGCGCGTCGCTGGCCGGCAAAGTACAGTAAGGGGCCTAAGGCCATCCGAGTCGAGTCGGAGGCAAGGCCGGGCAGACGCGGCCGAGCCGAGCCGAGCCGAGCCGAGCCGAGCCGAGCCGAGCCGAGCCGAGCCGAGCTGAGCCGAGCCGAGCCGAGCCGAGCCGAGCCCCCTGCAGACGGAAGTGAGCATCGCAAGTTAGGAGAGCTCTCCTTCCGTCGCCACGCTCCATCTCCGGCTGGGTTTGTTTGTTTGTGTGTATGTACGTGTGTGCGCTTGTCTGTGTCTGTGTGTGTGCGCGGTATGTAAGGGTGTGTGTGCTCCTCCTCGAGCAACTTTCACCTCGCCTTAGGCTTCCCCTTCCTCGACCGCTTCTCACCCTTAATTTCTTTCTGCGCGCTCCGCGCCTCAATACTCACTCAGCCTTCGCTTGCAGTGCGCTAGCATCCCCCCGCAAGTCAGTCAAGTCATCGAGTGAAAAGCGAAAGGGTCCGCGCCCAAAAAAAGAGGCCTCGACAAAAAAAGAAAATAAACAGGAAACTACAGGGCCGTGCAAATAGCGCGCCTGTTTGGACGGCCGCTGTTATTCGCAGGTCGATGGCGGGAAAGCAGTCAACTAATCTTTGACACAAAGGGCATCGCACCGCCCCCCTCCCTCCCCCTCCCCCTCTAGCCACCTTGCCGTCGGCCCAATAATGTTTGAACAAGAAATGGACTCAGCGGGGAGTGGGCCACGCCTGGCTACGCCGCAGCGGGCCGAAGCCTTGGCTCAAGCAGCCGAGCGTTCCCGAAGAGTCGTTTCTACAGTGCTGTCTCCCTCACACCCCTCAGGGAAGTCCCCTGAGTGCGAGAGAGACAGGGCGACTCGACTCTCCGGCCTGCAGGTAGTGCAGGCAGGCCACCGCTCTTGCCACTTACCGGTCGCCGCTGCCGACGCAGCGCGCACAGCGCGGTGGCCGCCCCTCCCGCCCCGCCTTGTCTGCTTCGCGCCCCGCGCCACGCCGGCGGCCACGCCGCCCGGATTTCACAGCCGATTTGGCCGAGTAACAACAGCTAATGGAAGGAAGACCATCGTTCCCGCCCACTTATTTTTTCGGTCCACTTTGCTTTCGCCACTGAATCTGGCGTTCCTTCTTCCAATAGACTCACCCCCCACCCCTTTCCCTTTTTTTGCGGTGGGGGGAGGGGGGCATAGGCCGTTCAGACCGCGAGACTGCTTCCACTAGACCTCGTCGTACCGTCGCAAGCACAGTCCTCACACCCCGAAACCTTACAAAACTAGCCTTTACAAAGAAAATCGTAATCAAAGGACGCAGCAAGCCCAAAACCATCGCTCGCTGTCTCTCTCGCACTCGTTGGGCCGTCCCGCGTGAGTGCGAGAGAGACAGAGCGACGAAAGCGACTCTCGGAAGCAGCCCACAGGCGGCCTAAGGTGGCCCGCAGGCGGCCTAAGGTGGCCCGCAGGGGGCCTAAGGTGGCCCGCAGGCGGCCTAATGTGGCCCGAAGGCGGCCTAAGGTGGCCCGAAGGCGGCCTGTATGGTAAAGAAAGGGTTGGCGGGCATTCCGGCTCGGCTCGGCTCTTTCCGGCCCCCGATAAAACGTTACGGGGCGTTGCGGAACGTCGAACGGAACGACCTGTCTGTCTGTCTGTCTGTCTGTCTGTCTGTCTGTCTGTCTGTCCGTCTGTCCATCCGTCCGTCGTTCCTTCCTTCCTACGGTCCGTGCCGAGTCATTACGGCTGATGCTCTCGGACCGAAACGCATTTCCATCCCCATCAGTCACATTGCCACAGACGGACAGACAAAATATATCACCAACTCGTTCTTTTCCAGTTTCTTTCTTTTTTTTATTTTCCAGTGGCATTATAGTACTAGTCGTTTACGTCGCTCTGTCTCACTCGCAACTGTGCGGGACGCCCCATGAGCGCGAGAGACACAGAGCGACGAAAAACGAGTGTGGGAATCAGTCTGCTCGAGTGACCGCGGCGTTTCAGCGTTGTCGGCTGCAGAACTATCCCGGGGGTGCGGTGCATCCACGGCCCCGCCCCGCCCCGCCCAGCGCACCGGTCGGCAACTATTCATGGCGCCCGCTTTTCGACCGAGATTGCCAATCGAGCAGAGAATCGGTCTGGACGCTGCGGTCCGCGGTGCCCGATTCCAACCAGGACTGCCGAGGCCGAGGCGAGGTGACTGCCGGCAGTTCTGGCCGTTCCATATTCCACCCCGCTGCACCCCGCCAGCCAACGCCTCGGCGAACGCCAAGCAGCGCATGGCAGCCTTCCGAGTG